TAACAAACTTGAAGACAAAGCAAGAAGATAAGATATACAAGGGTGGGTGTGCAACCCTTGTATGGCATGTGGAGCCCCAGCTAATACCCACATGGTGGGCCCATGTGCACTATAGGCCCCCATGTATTTTTTAAATAAATATTTTAAAATTTAAACAACATGAATTTTAAAACATTAAAATATCAATTGACTTACAAAATTCAAATAATAAATCTAAAATAATTTAATAATAAAATTAACAGTATTAAATTAATATGATGGGAAGTGGATCTATATGGTTCAGGAAGTCAATCAATGATCACGGGGTACTCCACTTTCAATTGTGGACTACATATCACACTTGCTTTATCGAACCAACCCAGTGTTTCTCATGACCCACAGTCCAAGCAGGGGCTCATTAGCGGGTCACCAAAGTCTGGTCGATGAGCCAATGAGTCGCAATCCCAGTTTGAAGATTACAGATCCTCTCCTAGAGACAAGTCAAGGTCACCACGACCTAATTCGACCATAGTTCTATGATGCATAGGGGTATCTCTTGCGCATGCATATGCTTCCCACAAGGTGGATATCTAGCTTTCCCGAACGATCTATCTATATGCATGCCGTGTGATGGAACAAAGATGAAGTTTTGGCCCCGTCTCTATAGGCCTACCATCACACACAAGGGTCACACAGTCTATCGACTTACTCATCTAAGCATAAGCTCCAACCTCATCAAGGGCTAACCCAAAAGCCCTTCTCGGTTTATTTTTTTATGCCTAAGTACCTTGGGTTTTCCAACCGACTGGCCTAGATCGTCATGCACAGTCTGTTATCCATAAATATAATTTGCTTAGTATGGTCTTCGAGGGACCACACTTCCACTGAATTTATATTTCACTATAGTAAATATTTTTCATTATACACTCATAAGGCTTTTAAAGGCCACATAAACCAACAAAAAAGAATATTGTAGTATGTCCAGTCGATCGCGAATGCTTGAACAATATTTTGTAGAGAGAGAGAAAAATGAAAGAAAGAGATGAAATATGTTTGAGAGAAAAAGTACACATTTAGAGAGAAAGAGTACCCGGTCGGAAGAGGTTAAAAGCTATTGTACTTTGGAACAAAAGATAGGACCCACCGAAGACTCCTCTCGCATAAAGAGAGAAATGGGCGTTGGGCGTTTATACGGGATTTGGTAATTGTGAACTTTTAGACTAAATATTTGATTTTCAAGAATTTGTTTTCAAGAATTTGTTTTCAAGATTGGTTTTCATCAAAGAGAATTGGAAAGGATGAATTTATTAGAAGTTTGGCACGTGGATTAATCTTGTTGGTTTTCATACACCCATTTTACACTTATATAAATTTTACTGTTTAGACAGTTTTCTTGTCATAATCTCTTAAGGCTGCTCTTCTTTCGGATTCAAGACAGGGACTTATTGTAAGCATAGGACATATTGTAAGGATAAAAGTGAATTTTATTTCTAAATAAATATTTTAAGTAAAGTAAAAAAAATTAAATCTTATAGAAAAAATCTATATACTTTGAGAGATTGTAGGAAAGAAAAATTGTTTCTTAGGGGCTATCCAAGAGCGTAAAGCATCATCCTAAAGATGGATGCAAGTAGGTGGCCCATCTAAAAACAATGAATACTAACGGTCCAAATTCTTTTTGAGTAGAATTATTATTTTTAGATTTTTAATTTTTTTTTCATAATGATGATCTCCATGTTATAAGATTATATGTCCTTAAAAATTAAGTCCAAAAATCCATCTCAAAAATAGATTTTTAAGAGGCGACATTCCAGGTAGAGAAAAATGCATATCCCACATTAAGTAGAGATAGAGAGAGAGATGCATACTATGGATCTCTAGTAGAGAGAGATAGATTCTAAAACTAAAGGGTCAATCCCCATCTTTATGGAAAAGAGAGAAAAAAAGAGACCTGGATGATACGTGAGAGAGATATATGAAAAGAAAATAGGGAGGATGAGATTTTTAGAAGGAAATTTTTATGTATAGAGAATCTGTAGAGACAAGTCTGGCCTTATGCAAGAGATTTCTTTGTTTCCAACACGAGGGCAATTGAGCTACTAAACATTAGCATACCATCCACATATAAAGAAATAAAGACGATATTACTCACATTGATCTTTTTATAGGTGCAATAGTCTTTCTCATTTGAGATAAACCATGTCAGAGACATCGTCTCTTGAAACTTGATGTACCACTGACGTGATGTTTATTTTAGGACATAGAGGGATTTTTTAAGTTTGTACACAAAGTTCTCCGTTCCTTACTTTTCAAATCCCTCAGGTTATTTCATGAAAATTTTCTCTTTTAAATCCCCATCAAGAAAAGTCGTCTTTATATCCATTTGATGGACTTCAAAGTCAAATGGACAGCTATGGCTATCAGTATTCTAATAGATAGAAACTTAGCAACTAGAGAGAAAGTTTCTTCATAATTTGCCATTTCTTTTTGGGTGAATCCCTTCGCTTTGTATTTCTCTAGTTTTCCCTCTGAGTTCAGCTTATTTTTTAAAACTCACTTACATCCAATTGCCTTAAGTTTTAAGGTAGAGGTACTAGTTCTCAAACTTTGTTTTGGGTGACGGGCTTGTATTTGTTTTTCATGACTTCTACCCAATAGTTCTTTTTAAAACAGGTTATGGCTTCTTTGTAAGTGGAAGTCTCATGATCTGGGTCATCCCCAATCCTCTCATAGTGTTCCCCTAGGTAGGTGAATAATTCAGATTGACTTCTAATTCACGTGTTTCTCTCAATTGGTTGTTTGGATTCTCGATACTCAACCTTGTCACTAGCCAGTTCAAAGAGATCAACTTGCTTGTGACTTACTTTTTTTTTGAGGAGCTCGTCCTTAAAAAAAGTGGGCTTCACGACTTTCTATAACTACCCCATTTTCAATGTTGAATACTTATTTCCATGGTCACGTAGGCAATGAATATACATTGGATTCTCTTGGGATATAATTTTGTCCTATTTTGGTATGGATTAGGACATGGCCAGAACAGTCCCACACTCTTAGATGATCAAATGACGGAGTACGACTAGTGAAAATCATGTGAGGAATAAAAGAAGCAGCCTTAGTGGGTGCATGGTTCAAGATATAAGCTGCCATCAATACTGCTTCTCCCTAGAAATCTAGAGAAAGCTTTGCATGCCTCATCATGCGTCTCACCATTTCTATGAAGGTTATATTCCGTCTCTCGACAACTCTATTTTACTCAGGTGTGTAAGGCATGTTGTATTAATAAATACTACCATACTCCGCACACAAGTCCCTAAAAATTTGTGAGGAGTACTCACTGCCCCATCGGTTCTAAAAACTTTGATTTTCAGGTTTTTTTACTTCTTTATCTCAGCTTTGTATTCTTCGAATTTTTCTAAGGCTTCAAATTTTGTGTGCATTAAGTATATATAACCATATTGAGAGTGATTATCAATAAACATGATAAAGTACCTCTTGCTGCTTTTGGTAGCCTTCATTATGAATGATTTGTAGTATGCTAGAAGCCATTTGTGCCCTGGTAGAAAGTTTTCCTTGTTAGCTTTCCTTGCTCATACGACTCACACACTTTTGATAGGTCGCTTTTATAATTACATATTTTCTTAATCTCTCCATAGGAAAACATCAACAACATTTGAAAAACGAGACATAAGCAATCACCTCTTTCATTTCAATTGAAGACGAGACATAAGTAGACCGGTCATGACAATCTCATCATGGTCTTTCACTATCACCTTATTTTCAGAGGTGATAAACTCAGCCTTACATTCCTTGGGACTGAAACCAAATACTTCCTCATATCATAGAGTGCTTGTTTTAGGATCATGACTTTTCTATTCTTTATTTTTTAGCAGAAAGTCACCAACATCCAAAACCTCGATCCTTTGATTCCTTCCGATATAAATGTGCTCCTAACCCGGCCCCATGGATTTGAACGTGTGGAAATCATCCTTGGTATTTAACACGTGAACCATAGATCACGAGTCAATACACCATGATGCGTCCTTTAGGGTCGGCTAGCTCTATCTCAAATACAACATACGCAAGTTCTTTGTTGGAAGTTTTAGAGAGGGAGTCTATAATAAATTTTGTTATCAAACAATGGATAGAAGTGATTGTAAGGAATCCATAAATTTTGTATAGTTTATCCAAACAAGAGATTTGAAGAATCCATGATAAAAATCCTTGATACTGAAAATCCATAGATTTTATTGGATATTTTGATATCAAATATCCAAGATTCCTATTTCCTCTTGTCCAAACGGACCCTAAGTCTTTTCCAACACATGATGTACCCCATAACATGAGAGGAATGGGACCGCTTCATTCCGCCTATAGATGAAAAGGGTCAAACAACGTCAAAATAACGTACACCAACCATTGTTTCAATATATGCCACAATATCATCTCACTCAAGTAATTCGTCCATGTTTTTGTTGGAATTCGCTAAAATTCCCTTGTCCAAGACCTGGAATCACGAACATCCAAGGGCACGTTTGTAATTTTTACCAACTTTAATTGGCCTCATGGCCCATCCAAATAAGATAATAACTCCTCGTTGCTCTTGATGTTAAACCCCAGTCATGATTTTCCCTTTAAAATCTCTTATTTTGAGTTTGGATCCCAAAACAAGTTACTTGATTCAACTAAAGTGATCGGAGTTAGATGGCAAATCCTTCCGTGCTTCCTGTAAAGTTTAAAATAAAATAGAGTTTTCGTTAAATTATTTTGTTCTGGGTTCAGAATGTGGAACAAATGAGCATTTTGATAATTTGAACCACTTTTGTTATGGGCCAATTTACCAAAAATACCTTGTTACTGAGCCCAAACAATGAACAAGCGTATCTTCAGCATTTTTTTAACAAAATTCTGGAGGATATACTTCAGAAATTTTAAGAAAAAAGTAATTGTGGATGTACATGAATGAAATTATATTACTAAATTGACCCCTTATAGATAAACCGATTCATTTGACAACATATGGCTTGACCATTTTAAGAATATTCTCTCTTTATATAGTGCAGGGGAGTCCATGATTTACATTTGCTTAAAATACCTCAGCTACATCAATCAAATAATATTGACTCACGTAAAATAAAAATATTACAGCATCAAAGACGAAAAATGGAATTGCGAATACAACTTAAGAAACAAACAATCATGCTGTTCCAAGCACATGCAAACGGAAAGGTGGACCACTGCAGAAGATGGGCTCATTAGAAGAATCGGTTCTTGCACGATCCCTGAGGAAATCACTGGCATCATCAATGACAGCAGAGCCCATCAATGTGTATTCACCTGGAACTAAGAAATACATGACAAACGAATGGGTGATCTCTTGGAGTGGTGGAACATCCACACGTATCCCACTCAGAACACCTTGCACGAATACAAAATCAATTAGGGTTCAAAAAACACAAAGAAAAAGGGCTACATATCTGCTCTTTATGTGTCTCTGCAAGTTTTAACAATCAATGTAGCAGGAGAACATGCTAAACTGTAGAAGGTTGATATTGGATAACTGAGGAGATAGCAGCTAAATGGAAATCATTCTATCAAAAACCACCTAATCCTTTTAAACAACCTAAAGCACATTTTCTTATAAAACTTGCAGGCATTTTGGAAAAAAATTGCCTACAAAGAGACCATTTACTTTTTGTACAAGGAAGTAACAACTGTTCCCACACATTAGATGCCAAATTGGATGCTGGGGTTAGCCACGATGTCCAAGAGTTTTTTTTTGGAACTGTGTCTAAAAGTAAATAGTCCCTTTGTAAACAATCCTTTTGGAAAATGTCATATTAGAACTCTAGAACCATAAACCTGCTGCCCAAATCTCTTAATACATAATGAGCCAGTAAGAGTCCTATGGGTAAACTCTGGCTAGTTCTTATGATCTTAGATCCATAATACTAAGAAGTAAAACCAAATACCTAAATGACGTGATATATTCATTTTTATTAACTGCCCAAAGTTCAGTAATACCCATTTCTTCTTAGAATTACAGATCGTGGCCTTTGTATATGCAACATAGTTTGCAAAACCTGTGGGTTGACCTGTAGCTTGTCTGGGTCCAACCAACCAGGTCCATTGCAAGGTCCACTTGAGTAAAATCCAGCCCAGATTTGGTATTTTCCTCTTTGATGTATATAATATTTTTACATAATGGGATTCATAAAATTCTTGAATATCCACCCAGTTGACCCCACTGGATCACCGGTTTGACACAGACCCAGTGACTGAATGACTGAATAAGTCGAGTATGAGTCCAGGTTTGTGAATGATGCTATGCATGTATTTTGATTGCATGCTAAGGAAAATAACTGGACAAAAGTTTAATGTAGGTGAAAATCTTTCTCCTAGTGAACAAGTTTACCTTTGCTTCTGAATCTGCCTCCCGGAATCAATTACCAATTGGCTTATGCTACTGTTAGACCACTATGAAAAGCTGTTCATTGTAGAATATGCGAATGAGATGCAAATGTGGAATGAGAAAGTCTAAGCCATGATCATTGAAGGAAACAAGACAAATTCGAGTGATGTGGTAGTATCCCTTGATAGTTGGACAGTCTTCATTGAGGCTTTTGAACAGTCAGTGGAAATCAATGTTACTATTGTAAACCATTTACATAAGTGCACACACTCGATGGTGAATGCCCTAGTTGAGTGTAACTACAGATGCATCAATTGAGAGCAAAGACAAGAGAAAGAAGGGGAGCAGAAGCAGAGAAATATAAATATTTACAAGCACTAGGGGAGAATCTGGCATAGGGTCCCTTCGTCTACGGGGACCAAAAATGAATAAAAGCAGAAATATAGTCAAACTCTGCAGAAGTATACGGCCAAAAAATGAACAAAGCAGACCCCTCCAAAAAGAAAAAACGAAAGGGTAAAAAACCAGAAGTATAGCCAAATTCTGCATTTACTATGCTCCACTATTGATCTACATGTTGTCAGTTCTTTTATGCTGCTGATCTATCTGAAACCTACAGTTGATTCTCATAATAAAATTTGAAAGGGTCTAAATAAGAATCAAACTAGAAAATGAGTAATTCTGATGCTGGCAAAACCATTGGACTAGAAACCAAGGTATTAGGAAGAATGTATGATATAGGCAACTTAATTTGATCAAAACCACGATCATTGAAGCTGTACTTTAATAGACAGCAGCATTCGGTATACTATTTTACTAATCTTTGTCAGGATTGTGAAGTAGAAACATACCAGCCCAAAGGACAGTTGCCTTATCACCATCAAAGCAGTTGTCTCCAGCAACATCTTTGCAAGTGATACTGAGGCTCATCTTAACCAACTCCTTGGTATTATTACGAACAAGAACTTCCATTGGGGTCATTTCATGTGCTAATATGGAGCAATTCAATACTTTAGTTCTTCCATCTTCACCAGAGTGATGCCTTCCATGACTACGAGCATTTTGCTGGGCATCTAAGGGTCCAGTTGAGAATTTATTTCTACTAAGCCTAAATCCAAAGGTCAATGGATCCGGCAGTAATATGTCCATTATAGTAGTCTGCAAGGCGGCTTGAACTGCATCTTTGATGTTTAATTCCCCGGAACTATTTCGTCCAGATTGCCATCTTACTTTTATCCTAGAGGTTAAGTTCTTGATTGAAGCATTTAACTCAGCCTTTGAATGCCTCTCAGTGAAGTTTGAATGTTTACCATACGAAGACTCCACTCTTTTTGTTTCTTTTGGAAGAAAAGATCTATCAAAAACTGGTAACTTAAAGTGCTCTAGAGGTATTAATACCCTGGCTGAGTACTCCCTATCAATCCTAGTTTTGGGATAATGAAAATCAGAAGTTTCACCATCAGAGGTTGTTGGATCTTCCATCTGAACAGATACACTAATCTCAAACACAACATCTGTTGGGTTAGACAATTCAAGTTCTAAAAGACGTAGTCCCCAGCTACCCCTGTATGGATCAATCTTGACCAAGCAATCTGCCTTAGTTTCATTGACAGGAACTTCATCACTGACAGCTTCATCTGTATAGACCGGTATGGGAAGGGTTTCTCTTATGTGAGCAGGAATCTCCATTGACAGCAGACGAGCCCTCACAAAACTTAAGCCTTGCAATACACACACATGCAATGGCACAACCACACGTCTGCCAGGGGGTAAAATAGGCTCAATTGTCTGAACTTCTTCCTGATATTGTGATGGTCCTGATAAACAAATAAAGGAGTTGAGCGAGTTGTAGAACAAAAACAAGCAAAACAAATCCACATATATAATTTTTAGTCATTAAAAGATTAAGTGCCATGCTTCAATTGTGCAATGAAGCGCTAAAACTTCATATGGTTAAAAAAAAAATTGAGTCATGCTGTACAAAATGAAATTGGGCTGAAAATGAATATTTAATATTAGGAATTGCATATTTAGGTATTTTCCTTGTAATTAAATTTGCACCTGTAGAGTGCTAAGAAGATGGTTTGAATTACTAACAAGAACAGCAAACCAACACAAGAAGTTTCCAATACTATTTGGTAAAATATTCAAATGAAGGGGATGTGGAGAAATTGAATCTCATGATAAACCCTCAGAGATAAGGAAGTTATGCCAACAAAAGGGATTATGCAACTGTTTCATTACAATGCCGTTATGGGATTAAACCAGAACAACTGGTAGCCTTCCATGTAAAAACAATTTAAAATGGAAGAAAATAGAAGCCAAATAAATCAACAAATAGACTAAGATTATTCAGCATGTAGCAAAAGAATCTTTCTTTCTAATCAATATTAACAAAAATGTAGACATCATGAAGAAATGACGAACTACCAAAAGTGTAAACAGAACACACATTAATGATACAGCATATAATCCCATAAAAGAGTGAGACATGCATTTACCTGCATAATGAATGACCAGCATTGGGCTGCTTCCTTCCTTGGATGTCCTCCCTATAATTCCAGTGAGATTCTTGTTGGTACTATTCTCAGAATCCACCAAGCCAAGTTGCCATGCTTTTATAGTCACGGGAATCATCACTTCTGCACCAGGCTTCAATGGGAGGGCCGATTTCAGTATTTCAGATCCAATTGAAATAACAGAGTCTTGATTTTTACCCGAAAGTGAAATATGTGCCTGCTCCACTGGAGTAGACCCTGCATTAGCCAAGCATACCCAGACATCACGAATTTCACCTTCATACAAGATAGCAGCACTATCTCCTCCTACGACATGAGAAACTAGAAGTGGAAGTGGAGGTACAACATTAATATTTGGAACCAATACATTCTTTATTTTGGTTGATCCACAGGAACGAAAAGGATCAGAAAGAACAAGGCCTTGAGCAGCTCCTATCAGCAAATTATCAACATCCCTAAAAAGGTGTTCTGTGATCACACCAAAACAATGGACTATGCATCCTGGAATTGTTAACGGTCCAACTGAAGTCGGTATCCCTGACAACGATATGACCTTTGATGTGTTTGGTGGAAGGCATACACTTACTGGGAAAGCATTGAAGTTGTTAGAATAAACTGAAAGATATATGCTGTCAACTGTTAAGTCAAAACCACATGGATTTGCCAATTCTACTAGAACTTGAACTGGTTCCCCAACAATCCATATTAGATCCTGCTTGTGGCTTTCATTTGGATCCCCCTTGCTAAAAGGTGTGTAAATAAAAGGGCCTGATGGTATGGACCCTGTCCACCATTCCTCTTTTCCTGAATTGCGCTTAATAATATCCATTTGTGATGGGTAAAAAGGAAATGAATGCAACCTACAAAAGTATGAAGGAAAGTAAATACCAGGAGATTTATACATTTTCTGCTAAGCTATTCCTCATAATTGCATCGACACCATTTTTTTGTCAGATATCATTTTGTTTACTACTTAACATGAGAGGACATTTCGAAGCCATGTGAAACAAAAATATCATAGCAACATTAAACCATATTTCCAGGGCAAGGAGAATGAAGAATGTGTCATTCTCTAATATGAATCAAAACAAATTTCCAGATAGCAAACCAGTCAGATACAGCAATAAACATATTGAAAAACTTGATTTGAATTTGGATGCAATCTCTCAATAATAATGCCCGATGCAACACTATCATAGTCAGTCCCTGGATATGGTTTTCACATAAGCCCTTAAGTGAGTTATCTTAACAATGATCCTGTTGGAATGAAAGCATTCCAAAAATTGTTGGAGTTTTGTGGCCTTTAAAGGCATTGAGAACATGTAAAAACATGTCTTAGGTGATATTTTTACTCCTCCCCCCCCTGCCCCAGAGAAGAATGCTTCGCAGTGCTATGTCTTTGGCTATATTTTTACGCCTCCCCCCGCCCCAGAGAAGAATGCTTTGCAGTGCCCATTACTTACTCGGGGGTCAAACAGTCTAGGCCCAGGAATGCATTCCAAAACCCCTTTAGCCTTGGGCATAAGGTGCAACAATGGAAAATTTGCAAGGCAACCCTAGCCGAGGTCAGTGAGATGCTCAGATTGGTTTGGCTATAAGACTGTCGGGTCTCCTATTTGCGTTTAGCGGGCTTTTAAAATTCTCAAACACTCCAAAAAGTGTATGTATGATACCAAAATGATCTAGTTTAATGGAAAATCATTAAAATAATTTTTGTCGATTTTTGGTAATTATTTTGGATTTTTCTGGGAAAGAAAATTCGATTTATGGAATTGTTTATACGTAATAACAAACAAGGACAGTCCCCTGAGACCCACACGAGATACCCAAATGACCGATGGGTGTCCACGTGTTGGCTTGGGGCGTCCCACATCCCCCCCCAACGTGGAGATGACATGGGGGTGACATCAACCCCACAAGGGACCCCATGTCTTTATGTTATTTGTTATTTTAACTTACAGATGTTGGTTTATGGCATTTTATGAAAAATTGAGATTTTGGAAAAATTATTTTAGTGCATGTTTAATGTTTAAAGCAAAGGGTTTGTGCGCATGTGTGGAGGATTCTAGAAGGGGTATAAGGTTTGTAATTACAAGCCAACCCTAAGGGTATATAGTAAATGCGCAATTAACCACCTACCTTATGTGGCATGATTTCACTAGCCCCACAGCTTTTATAAAATGGAGGGAACTTTTGAGATTTACTTTTTATTGGAATATTTGACAAATTACTATAAGGGTATACCCTCCATCTTGGTTTTATTTTTATTAAATGTGAGGAGCATGGGTATTTTAATAACAAGGGAAATTGGAAGAAATCTGCCCTTGCATAAATGCATCAGAACACCTTATTTACTGTCACGCGTCACAGATGCCAAAACAGAGGAAAATTGATAACTATGGGCTTTGGAAATTTGATAGATTCTGTATTTAAAGAAAGGTTTTCTTCATGAAAATTGGAATATCCATTTGTCAAGGAGTACAATAAGTACAACGATTTCCTCAAAAAACATCACAGCACAAACTTATCCATGACTCAATTGTGTGGCAAATGGTCCCAAAGAGTCCTCATATATTCAATCCTACTTACAATTGGAAAGATTAAATCCATGAACATGATACATGAATACATTAAAGCGGGACACTATGCATCACAAGAGAATTTGAAAACCCTCTGTTTGAAAAGAAGTTTTTTTAGGAAAATTGGGCATTCAGTTACTTAAAATATAGATAATAAAAAGATTTCCTCTACAAAGTTCTTGTACTTGTGCAACCCAATATCAAATTCTGGTGACTGTGGTCAATATGTTTTTGCATCAAACAGAAAAGTTCAGTCCTCAAACATTCACTCAAATTCAAAATTGAAATCATCACATCAAGCATGGATACAAAGTTATCATCACAGAAGCAGAGGGAAACCTATTACATTCCAATAGAAAAGATCTCAAATCATCTCAATGATCTTGGGATGCAAATTTCTGACAAAAAAACAATGATAAATAGATCAATATTTATCATTTACTATTTGAGTGAATTAAGGGGTACCTTACAAATGGTACAGCAGGATCTGCACATCGAGTTCCTGAAGGAAGTCTCTCAGCTGAATTTGAAAGTGCACTTGCAAGACCACTTTGACCAGCAGGAGTGATAAGAGGATAGTAAGATCTAAGCAGGCGTGCTGCCGCACTCCATGCAGCAAGGGGATCTCCAGCACGGACCGCAGATAATAGGATCTCTCTCAGCACAACCATTTGTAAGGTGCTCCATTGGCATTCAAATAATGAGACTATAGACTGAGAGTTCAATTTCCCACCTTCCAAATGACTCAACCGGAGTTCCTTATAAGAAAAATATTGAAATAGATGTAGAACAATTCAGTTCAAGCCATGCATACCATCATAATCCTCAAGAATATGAAACATACGACTTTCAAACTACAACCAACACCATCACTTTCACGCAATAAAAATCCCCGACCACCATTCAGACATACAAATTACAGGTTCCATTCACAGTATACAAACAGATTTCAAGTTTAGGAAAGGAGTATATTTCATTCATAAGATTAATCGGAACAAACTCCATTCACAGGTACAAACTGCAAGAAGTAATTAGCAAGGACCTACACACTGCAATTTTAAGGGAAGATCAAAAACAATTTAGGTGAATATAAAATCATAGGCAAACTTGGAAATTTATCTGTGGGAACCCTGTGCCACAGTAGCATTATCACTCTCTGAACTAAGGCGCCTCTAGAGATAAAAGCATTATGCAAGACATGCTGTGCGTAGTGCTCATTGAAGAGTTACCAAAATTTCAAACTTATGAATCTATAACATATCAGCTATGCCACTCATTCCATTCGAGAAACAATTCGCACCAGTAGTGATAATATACAACAAAATTAAAACACTAGTCGTAGTCATTGATGTGTGGCAGTCCTACAAAAAGTACCCCCAGATAAACACGGATAGGTCGAATCAAATATGGTTTAAGAGATAACCATGAAGGTATTCAAACGAGAAAAACCACAATCAATTTTTTTTCAGCAACAGACAAGAAATACGAGACAACATATTGCAAGTTTCAAAGGGTGTAAAACTCTATAAAACATTCCAAGACAAATAAAGCACCTTGATACCTTAAAATCTTGCTAGGCAGATAACATGAAGCAGTTACCCACCAATGCCATCAGTATTATAAAACTAAACTATGGCATAAGGGGAACATAGATTTAAAGGAATGAAGTTAGCTAAGCATGAGTATCTGGTCTCTTTTTATTATTGATGATTATTTTTTTATTAGCTATTCAAGAGAACATGAGAACATTGAGGTACTTGTCAGATACATGAAATTCTATACAAAAAGGTCAAGAATCAAAGGAGAGGGATATTGCTTGCAGGGTTAACATCTTTCTAACCACCCCCTTCCTGAACAATGAATCAGCAGCCTCATCAGCATCCTAAGGACATAATATAAGAGAGACAAATGAGCTAGATCTCATAGATCTCCTGCTTCTATGAGTCCTTAATCTCATAGATCTTTTAACATTTTTTTCAGCAGCCTCATCAGCACCCTAAGGACAAAGTATAAGGGAGACAAATAAGCATTGATCTCTTAGAATATCTTGCCTACTTCTAATGCTCAAAAGAAAGGCAAAAATGGCTCAAGATCAGAAACAAGAATGATTGAATAACCTTCACAGATTTTCTACAAATTATGTTTCTTTTCATGCATGCTAAAACGAAGGGAGATGACTATGAAAGGTAAATTATGTTTCTTTTCTTGCATGCTAAAACGAAAGGAGATATGAAAGGTAATTTTTTCCAATCCTCATCAAGTTGAAGAAAAATATATCGACCTAATGAAAAACACAGTTGCCTAAACTGTTAAGGCTGAGAAAGTTGATAAGATAGAGCAAGTGATTGATTAAGTACAACCACATAAAAGCATGAGGCTCAAATCAGAGAAAAACGCAATATTTAAACATCATGCTCACAGTGCACATCAATAAGGTCTCCGGTTGTCATGAATCACAACTTATAAGGATTTAGAAGCACTTTTATGTAGGTTTTGTATCTCCTGAAGACGTACAAGTAAGAACTTTTCATCTTGAAGATTTGTTTCTAACATGTTACAATCAAATGATGATAAATGCATAGAAAACATAATCTTCGGAAATAAGGTTGGCTGCTTCATGAGGATAAATAGTACCTACCACATGAAAGCATCTAGCCCTTAGCCAATACTAGAAAAGCTAAGCACAAGCTCCATTCTTTATAAGAAACCATCATCACTATGACAACATGGATTCATGGATCAGGAGAAATCAGCCTTTATCAGGACCACATCTTCCAATCCAATCTGCTAGATTCCCAGAAAACAAGAACTATAAAGGTGCATTTGATTTCAAGAAGATGTGGCCAAGTTGCAGCTTCCATGCGGGGGCAAGGAAGCCGCCACTTCCCAGTTTTCATGTTATTTTGGAAGCAGCAGGAAGCGGCAGCTTCCAAAATACCGTAGCACTTCCCAAAATCAAACATGGGAAGTTCTGCAGTTGTGGGAAGCTGTGCTCTGGAAGCCGCAGAGTCCCGAAATCAAATGTGTCCTAAAAGCCACAACCACCCAAGGAATGAACCAATCAATAAATAGTCACCACAGGCAATTTAAATCTAAACAAGAGTATGGTCAGTTAAACAGGCTGTTTAGGCCTCTGAGGAGGACTAGCTGATATTAGGTCAAATTTGATCACAGAAAAAAAGTAATCCACATAAACTAAATTAATAATGGGAAGATATGAAGCAATGGAAAAATCTAATATATCAAGCAGTTCATTAGTTATTTGGGGTGTCACATTATAAAGAAAAGATGGACAAAGGAGGTTTCAACTTTATCATATAACAATACAATATGTTCAGGGTTGTGGGGGTGAATTACCCATTGAAAAATTTCAAAATGACATAATGTCAATCAAAATATTACAGAATGAAAATATTCAAGAGATATGGGTTGCCGTTGAGGTGCATCTGCAAATACATAATGTGAAATAATTAGGACCCTAAGAAACTTTGAATATTTTAGGAGCGGAGCAGCAGCATTAGTGGCCAATATCTATTTCTTCTATGTCCAAGGATTTTCAATTTTTTTTTTTAAAGATGTACAGGAAATAAGAAGCAATCCACATAAAGTAGCCCATCAAGAGCAGAAACATGCCAGGTCTCACATTTCTAGGCTTTATTGTATTTGTCATATCAATAATCCTTTTACATTTTATCTGTGTTGCTGTATCAAAAAGCTTAAGGCTTACTGGACCACCAGTAGATCCATTGCATCCAAAATTCATAATTAGACATATAGAAACTGCATACAATAGCCAGCCACGTTGCAATTTAAATAGTTTCTTATGGACGGCATTGCATTTTAAACAGTTAAAATAAGCTAGCAGAAACAATATACTCGTAACTCACATTGGGGAATGAATGTGATCTTGCATTGGTTCCTTTACTCTGAACGCGATAGGCTTTTGAAGTCATCGCCAGTACTTGCAATGCACTAATTGCAGCCCAGCAGTTGTCTTGTTGCAAATATAATTGAGCAACTTGCCTTGAGAAAAAAGCAGCTTTACGCTCATATCCAAGATTCCCAAATAACCGAGCAATCTCCACATATAATACCAAGCGATCACTAGCATCAATCAGTGATTTTGCACCATCAGCAGCACTCATTAATAAATCCACGACCTCCTTAGCTAGCTCTCTCCTGTCAGATCAACAAGCAGAGATAGGACGATGGTGTCCACATGACTGATGGCTATTACATGCTACTGAGAGAAGAACAAATGTATTTAATCCTTCACAATCAAGTATGAAATCCTCAGCAGAAACATAAAAGGATAAGACAAACATTCCATTCTACTTAGTATGGAAAGAACCTAGATATGGTAGAACAAGAAAAGAACAGAAAGGCACATAAATCATCACCCTTAAATCATTAAAGGGAACAATGCCTTTGCATATACATGCTAACTACAATATCATCACTGTCATATCCAAGTTTGAGCATCATCTTTCTCAGTCCAACTTCCTTTCAGGGACAAATTTCTACCAAAGCCAAAATCAGGTGATTAAAGATGAAGTGGAAGCCGTCACATCCATAAAGATGCACATATGGACACATGAAAATATGCACTAATGTAGTATCATATTCAGAATGGGATGATTAGATCAGCTTTTGGGCAAACGAGACCCTCATCCTAACCAAAAAAGGGGATATAACAGCATCATAAACCATGAAATAGCCAGTTAAGTATACCAACTGGCCTGTTTACGTGGCCAGACTGCAACCAACTGTTAAGGACAAGTCCTACTGTTGCTAACTTTTCCTTTTTCTTAAAAAAAAAGAAGTGGAAACTAGTCGGAAAGGACTAAAGACAAATCAAACCCAGGAACCATTGTAAACAGCTCTGGCTACATTATAACGTCTAATATCTGCTTAACGCATATCCAAAGATAAACAACAAAATAAATTATTATCATGTTTTTAAAAGAGATCAGAACCCAATCTTTACTTGGAAACCAGGTGAATTTGACCAGACAGGCAACCTTATAGATTCAGTGTCCAGGCCATTTTTAATAACTTGTGTAAGAAATGAATGTATACATCAACATACCTTTGAATATATGTTTAAGCATGTGTAGGATACAGTTACCATATGTATTTATTTTTATGCATGAATGCAAGTCTATTTGTATGTATGTAAATGCTACATATTACATAGCCATGTACCTAAATATCATTCACATTCATACAAATACACAGAAAGAAAATGAATCAACAAAAGCATCCACATATTTAAGTATTCATATACAAGATGCATACATCATGGTTGTCCAGAAAAAAAAGATGTATACACCATGGTTTAAAAACTCAGTACTCAGAACAGGCGCAGCCGACATATTAATCCACCCAACACAACGACCCAGACTCTCTCTCTCTCTGTTACCTCAATTTGTTACGGATGCTAGGATAACATTTCTTTTAGAAAATCTCAAGTCTTTATCAACGTTATTTTTATTATTTTCATAATTGTTTTGCATGAACAATAACAGTAGGTTTTTAATATAAATACAGGAAAAAATTATATAAGTCAATAGGAATATATTTGTAGTGTAAGCCATTTTGGTCTGCTGGATCCAAAATTTTGAACACATAGATCTCATCCAGGAAATCAAGGGTAAAAAAAAATGATTTCGCACAAAAGATATGGAGGAAAATGTGGCCCCCATGATCCGTAACAGAAGGAAAAATCACGTATCCAGTGAGATGGAACCACCTCCATCCCCTTCCCCTGCATCAAAAATGGGTTCTCCCCTTGTGGATCCCTACCCCACGCTACCTTCTGACCTCTACGCCTACAACCTTTTGAAACACCCTGCTCCCCTACTACTGACCTCTGTGCTCAGCCTTCTCCGGCCTCTTCCTCCTCTTAGTCTCAAAACCTCGCAATCGCCCCCTTCAGTGGATTAAGACAACATCAATGCTGTTGATCGAGGACAAGGAGATTTCAAGGACATCCTAAGGGTTATGAGATTTCCCACAGCATGGTCTTGAGGGGCCTTTCCAGCATTTTTCAAGGACGAGGCTGAGAGTAGGCTAAAGGTTAGGATCGAAGGCCATAGGGAGATCTTAAACTTCTACTCCAACATCAAATATGACAAACAACCAGACTCGGTGCCAACTGCGATGGTCCTCTCTCCACCCACTAATTAGGAACCCCTCCCTAGGAGGTCTCCTAGGCTTAATTCTTCGTCATACTGCCACTATTCCTCATGAAGCTGTTTTCATGGAATGTTCGGGGGTTAGGACAAGACCTCAAGCGCTCTGCAACGAGGGATTTGTGCGCCAAATACAACCCATCCATTCTAGCCCTCACGGAAACTAAACAACGGACCGCTGCCCTGCATCTCATCTGCCAGGTTTGGGGTCGACACCCTTGCCAGTGGATTTCTATCGCTGTGGCCAGAGCCTTTGGAGGCATTTGGATCATTTGGAACCTTGCTGAACATGCCCTAATCTCTTCTCTCCTTGGGGCTTTCTCGGTGACTGCGATCCTCACAAGGATCTCAGACGATTTTCCTTGGAAATTCACAGCAGTTTACGGGCCAAATTCAGTGTCCCTCAGACCTGAGTTTTGGGAGGAGCTGGATCTCATTGCCAATCTCCCCCACCGGGCGTGGTGCCTTGGAGGAGATTTCAATATCACAAGGTGGTCCTTCGAGCACAACAGTAACTCTAATATCTCACAAGAAATGCTCGATTTTTTAGGCTTCATCTCTCATAATGAACTCCAGGACAGCCCTCTGCAGAGCAATCTGTTCACATAGTCTGATCATTGTTCCCAACCCACACTATCCAAACTCGATAGGTTCCCAACTTCTCTGCAATGGGAAGATGCCTTCCCAAGATCCCATGCAATGGCCCTCCCCAAACCTACTTCAGACCGTTGCCCTATTCTACTCCAAACCCATTCGGCTCACAGGGGCCCTAAACCTTTCCGGTTCGAGCTGGCATGGTAGGAAGAGCCTTCTCTGTCCTCTCTAATCCCTCAAAGGTGGGACACTTTCTCACCCTTAGTCTCGGGTAGGGCAGGGTTTATTCTCCAAAGGAAAATTCAACTTCTAAAATTTGCCCTAAAAACTGGAGCAGAACTATTCCTGGGAACTTTAGTCAAACCAAAAGCTCTCTTCTGTCGGCCATTCAAGCATTAGACCTGTCTGAAGAGTCCCTACCCCTCTCCACTGCCAAGTCCAACCTCAGGACCCAACTTAAACTTGATTACTTCTCTACCCTCAAAAAAGAAGAGATTTTCTGGTTTCAGTGTTCTAGGGTCAAATGGTTGTGCCATGGTGACCATAACACTGGTTATTTCCACATAATAGCTAATTGCCAGCATAGAGAGAACTCCATCTCGACGCTTAAGGACGAAAATTCTGTTCTCGATCAACCAGCTGACATTGAAGAAGCTATTCTTTCCTTCTATCGCTCCCTATATTCTGCCTTATCCATTTTGGGCGGTTTAGAATACCCCAATGTTCTTTATAAAAATCTCATGGGTCAAAATGACCCAAAATGTCCTTAGAGGCCACTTAAATTACAAAAAAAGGGGCCCAGAACCTGGGTGCCTCCCTGGACTAGGCACTAGGCCCCCACTTGGGCCGCCTGGGCAGGCACCTCACTACTGGTGCCCAGGGAGGGCCACCCAGGCCTAGGCGTGCACCCAAAGGCCCTTACAGCGCCTAGGGTAGACTGTTGTTTGGAACAATGTTTGGGATTTTATCAGATCATGTTTGTTGTTCCTGAACTACTTGTGACTTATTTTGTTTCCTCTAAATGCAATGTAACAATAATCCAAAGAAGAGAGAGAGAGACAATACCAAACAAGATCAATATCACAGCAAACCTAGGTTCCAAATGGAGGATCTATAAATGGTGGAACTTGTTCAGTTAGAAGTTGAGAATGGACCAGTATAAATTTCAAAATGAAGATTATAATTAAAAAACAAGCAGATATGAGAATTTCGTACACAAATAACTGATGTAAAAAACACGGTTAATTGTGTCAAAAAAATAACTGACAAAAATATTTTGGGATGATGATCAATAAGCATATAGGGAACAGCCTATGCTTATATAAGAAGTGATTACATATTACACATTAAACATGTAATTCAATTTGGTACTAGTAATCAGTTTCATCATTGTGGCACCATTTCTCTTTCTGTTTTGATAGGTTAATCTTGTTATTTCTATGATCTTTCTAATTTGATTTCAAACAATCATATGAAGAGCTATTTGTCCAAAAATCAAGCACATGAAAGGGAGCTAAAAAAATATAGGCAAATAAATGACAAAAGATACCTGCAAAGAAATCTAGCCAATTTCAAAGCAGCCTGGAGTTCAAAGCTTACAGTTGGAACTCTGCAAGTGCCATCCAAGGTAAATCAGTTTGAGTTGATATATTGAAAAAAGAACTTCAGACAATTAACTATAGACTAATGGAACGCAGAATGGTAGAAATAAACTATCAAGATAAGACCAGTATAGAAGCATTATATCAACTACAACTGCATATATTGAAGAGACTCAGCAATGTTTTTTGGATAAATGATCCTTGTAGAATATTTTGGTTTCAAACTCTAAAGTGAGTAGTATTGAGTCAATTCTAATTATATATACAAATATCAGAAGAAGAATACGACTGAAAACTGAACGGCAATCAAAATCTAGAAAACAAAGAATCACAGAAAATAAAGTGGGCGAAATACCAGTTAGGCAGTGAACAAAAACTAATTATGATGCAGGTAATTTTGAACATCCATCTAGTGGAGGGCATATCTTTTCGCTCTTGTATCTGAATTATTATTATTTAGCCCTTTCAGAAATGGACTTTTATGCTCTACAATACTAAAACTGCCTTGCCGGTTTTGGCTGGCAGATCCTCCAAAGGCCTGAACTTCAAGTCTGATAGTTTTTAGTGCCAAGATAGAGCTAGTTTGGTCTTTTTCGCGTCAACAACAGATTTGTCTTTTTCAAAATTCTTTTTTTTTTTTTCTATTTAAGGTTCAGATTTAATGTTTGTAATGGACAGTCTAGATTACACTGGGGCTAGGGTTTGGTCTATAAACAGCTTGTGATGTAAGGATGAAATTATTAGTTTTTTAGGTGTCTATTCAGGGTATCCTGGTTTAACCAAAGAAAGCTGTGAAGCTTGGCTTGTAAGCTTCCTTTCCTTTTTTTCTGTCAACAGAGTTGCAACTCTGACCAATGACCACTTGAGGGGCTTGAGGGGCCCGTGGCCATGGCGATCATTTTGGAGCTACACAGGAGGATTTAGATGACCTGTTGAGGCGATTTGAGGGATTGGGACGCTAACCTGTTGAGGCGATTTGTGGAACTGGCACACAAGGTTTTAAGGCCGAGTTCATTCACTCATGAGGGTGACAAATCCAAATCTGCAAAGCAGAACCCTTTCCATAACAGGGAAGGGATGAAGCTTCGCATCCTAACCACGTGAGCACCTTGTGCGAGCTACAGAAAGGACGAACGAGGCAACTAAGTCGATGTGCCTCAGTTCTCTGATTTAGATGACCTGTTGATGATTTGAGGGATCGGGACACTAACCTGTTGAGGTGATTTGTGGAACTGGCACACGAGGTGCACCAAGCTCGTTTCATGCAGACTTCATTCATTCATGAGGGTGACAAATCCAAACCTGCAAAAGAGAACCCTTTCCATAACAGGGAAGGACTGAAGCTTCGCTTCCTAACCAGGTGAGGAAGTCTGATCTTCCTCTCGAATAGCACCTTGTGCGAGATAGAAAGGCAGAAAGAGGCAACTGAGTCAATGTGCCTGAGTACTCTGGTTGACTACAACCAGATCACTTAGACTGGGTTGCCAAGGTTGGAATGTTTTTCAAGTGGAAGGAGTAGTCCAAAAAAAAGAAGGTAAAGTTTGTGGCCACATGGTTGACCCTAATTTGATGGCAGCAATTATAGGAAAATCATCTGAGTCAAGGAAAGGATAAAATTGTAACTTGGAGGAAGGAGTTAAAGGAAAAGTTCATCCTAGTTGATAGCACACAAGCACCGTATCAAAGGTTTCATCACTTGCACCAAAAGGAGAAGAGAATACAAGACTACATAGAGGACTTTTACATGTTGATGAGCCGAAACAAAATCGATAAAAATGATGATCATAAACAAACCCCATAAAAATGATGATCAGCTCTACATAAGTGGGTTGAAACTCCATATTCAGGGTGAGTTGATCCTACACCCAATGAGGCCTATCAATTTGCTCTAAAAGTTGAAGAAAAACTGGAAAGAAGTACCGCTAATGACTTACGTGATCAAGGATCATCATCAACAACCAAAGGGCATACCACCAATCTAAGGCAACAGGAATAAGGTGATCCAAATCTTTGACCTGGGGATGAGCAAAAAATAGGAAAGGGTGGGACCACAAGCAAACCTTTTCAAGTCTAGGACCAGGGAGTTGGTTTTTTATGTGTAGCAAGATGGGACATCGCTCTTTCATACATCCTACCAACACAGCGCCTATATGTTCTCTCTTGTATTTCCAACATTCTTACTGCCACCAACAACCTCCCAAACGTCCTGACTAGCAAGTACATTTCTAGGCACAAATGCCAGTCATCATAGTTGTCAGCAATTTCTCAAGGACAAACTCCAGTCAACATAGTTGTGAGCAATTTGCTAGGCTTGTCATCGTTATTGGTGTGGTAGCTTGTCCATCTCCATAGCCAAGAAGCTCGGTCCTTGATTGATCGGCTTCACAATGTAGCACTGCTCACAACAAATGGTCACTGAGCAAACCCGTTGTAATACCACTCAAATTGCTTTTACCAATCACACACCAAAGAGAAGATAGTAATCGTCTACCAAAAAGGAGAGAACCTTTATTTTATTTACAATAACGCATACATCATATTGAACTCATATCACATTGTATTGTACTCCTCCCTTACAAAACACGCTTACACTACACCACCTTCTTACACTAAACTCTACAAAACATCAAGAAAGAGACAAGGAGAATGGATTTCACTAACAAAACTTCATGTTTAAATAAAAAAGGGCCATGTAGCCCATAATCCATGTAGCTCTTTCATATGGGTCCAATTGAATGTGTGACTCTTTTATAAGAGTCCACGTAACCCTCAAAGGAAAAGTTGATTAGTAGAACCAACCTTGAGGAAAGTAGAAATGAGAGAAAGAGAAAGAGAGAGCTGTGTGTTGGCTTGTAACATTTTCCCCATCAACATTGGCCTTTCTTAACTGTTTGTATTCTTATCATGTTGAGCTCCTGTGCATCAAGTTCCTCGACCAAAGCAGTGTCAACATATTTGGAATTTAGTTTCATCGCTGCAGTTGTTTTGGTTATCCTCTAACTGGTTTGGTCGAGCATCCTCATGAGTCATTGGGTGGAGGACACCATCTCGGGCAGATCTTCTTGGTGAAGTTGGTGGAATACACTGAAGCTGGCCTAGATCCCTGGACCAAGTTTGACAGTTTCACTTGGCCAATCAACATCTCCATCTCGAGCAGTGTTGTAAAATTTGCTTTGTTGCGGCTGAAGAGGTTGAAGCCTACGGATTTTAGGCCTAGACCGAAGCGAAGTGAAGTCTGGTGTTGCCACTTCAATAAAATTCAAGACGCTTCGGGCCGCTTCGGTCATATTTGGGTCTGATTCGGGCCGATTCGGCCAAAACATCGGCCACTTCAGCCTAAGCAAAGACTATATTTTTCAAAAAAATTTGAAATCTTTATTTTTTTCATTATTTGTATATATTTTGATATATAAATATTTATATTAAATTTAAAAAAAATCCAAAATCTTCCCCCAAATCCCCCAAAGCATTGAATTGCTTCATTTTTCTCACCAAATCGAAGAAGACTTCGAAGCAAATCTGACAAAATTGATCTTGAGTCTCCTTGGTTTTGAACTTCTGCCAAAAATCAGTCTCAAACAAGGCAATTAAACAAATGTTAAAAACCAAAATATGGCTCTCTCTCTCTCCCTCTCTCTC